TTTGACACCAAACTGGAGTGGCCAGGCCAAGTTTATTCATACAGTCTCTGACTAACTAGTGTGTTTTCCAAAAACAATGTTTTCAGGTGTGACAGGTATGGATGGAGGGCCAAAGAAGAGAGAACGTCCAAACGTTGCCAACTTAGTGTGAACAGGGGCGGATCTAGAAAGTGGCAGCAGCCAGCCCAGTTTGGTGTCAAATTTAACTTTTGTTTAGAATCATTTTTAAAATAACATGATAAAAAAAAATCAAAAAATTGAATGAATATTGTAAAAATATGTATTTGTAAATAAAACAATCTATTGATGTCTAATGCAAACTTTAGATAGTTCTGTTCTACTAATGTGCCACACACATTTGGGGGCTTTTCCAAAGCAGATATTGATATATTTGATTGTGATTAAATCAGCCTCACTCTGCACAACCCATCAGTATTTCTCTAGCTCCGCCCCTGAGTGTGAATGGACTCTAAATGTGATTTAATTTATGCAAAATGAGCCGTTTATATTCCTGATCTCTAGAGGATGATCCTTATACATTTTAATGACTCTAATGATCTTTCCTCCAGCGCCACCCTCAGGACAAACTGCACATGTTCAGCTGCAGGTGAGAGTCTGAGAGCAGATAAATCATTGGGGTGTTGACGGCGGCTCTAACTGTGTCACACTGTATGAATGTGAAGGTGGAGCTCTGTCAACACCACCTGAAGGTTAAAGGTTAGAGGAAGGTCTGTGTAGTAAACTGAGCTAATAATACAGTCATATAGAGTCATGTGGTCACCTGTAAAGATCTAACATCTGATAAAGTCAGAGTGTAAAGCTAACAAAGGCAGAAAAGAATCAGGCGGCATGAAAGAAAGGTATTAATCAGTGTGTGTGTGTGTGTGTGAGTTGCTGGTAGTTTTCCAGCCGTGTCTGCAGGCACGTACAGCAGGATCACAGATTATCACCTCCAGATAAACCTCCACAGAAAGCTGAATGTGTGTTTGCAGACTGACGTGTCCACTCAAACTGCTTACTGCATGGATTTATACTGCTGTGGTTTTTCAGGTCATCAATGCAACCACCGATTCATTATATCGACTGTTGTAGTGAGAGATAACTGCTTTCACTATCTCATCCTCCATCGTAGAAATATATATGTGTATATATATGAATATTTAAATCCATACAACTGCTCATCAATCTGTGTGCTGAACCGATCAATGACAATGTGGAAAAGGTTATTTAACTCCTCTGAGCTGACGCCATCCTTAAGATAAGATAAGATAAGATAAGAGTATTCCTTATAATAGTCCCAAATGGAAATTCCAATATTACAGCAGCAAAGTGGATAGAGAACCAAAAACAGCATAAAGACATATAAAAAACAGTAAGAGTATGAAAAAATAATATAATTTATAATATAAAACTGCACAAGAGAAAAAACAGTAAAAAGCCACGAGACAGAGCAGATAACAAATAACACACGAATGACTAGCAGCAGTTGCACATGGAGACTGCACATTTAGACTGCTGTTCGAGTTTGAGCATCAAGGACAAAAGCAGACAACCATGAAATTAAATTGTAAAGATGCAACTTACAGGTTCTGTGTGCAACTTTAGGAAAACGGTTGTTATTATTGACACCAGTGGTCATTAAGTGAAGCTAACGTTAGCCAGCTAGCTACACCCCAGTTACGCTGAAAATAAGCCAGTCCGGGAGTCTGGATGAAGCCTGCTGACAGTAGTATTTTGTTACGTTGGCTAGCATAAAGTAGCACCCTCATCCCTACATAGAAACCACATAGAAATCAGTCCACAGGCAGCAGAGAACAAAGCTACACTACAACGCTGTTCACTGTCTGCTCACACACACTGACTCACAATCTGGAAGCTTTAATGCCTCACAGGGTAGGAGATCTGTCTGCTCGGCTCGATGTCGTTATATTATAATTATTATAATAATTATTATATTGTAGATAAATGATAGTGGGTGAAGTTAAAGGCTCAGTGTGATCTATGTAAAGCTGCCACAGCTCACACAGACACAATTCAATTTGTGGCGTACTGCACCTTTAAAGAGTGGAGCGATGTTCCAGACGTTGATGCTGCCGGCCTTCATGAACTGTCCCAGAGCGATCTCCAGGAAGAAGATCGGGATTCCTCCGACGAAGACGATCAACAGGTAGGGGATCAGGAAGACGCCTGCAGGAGAAGACGGGTTGAAGGATGAGTTCAAGGCTTTAATAAAACACTGCATGAATAAATAAACCAGCAGGAAACGAGACAGCGAATGGGAGTTTCCTCGTTGTTTGTTTAAGCTCATATTGTAAAGAAAATTCTAAATGAAAGACAAATGGTGAAAGATTTAAATGCTTAACACATCTCCTTTCAGACTAGTGTAAAGAAAACAACGAAAATACACATTTAGTGTTTATTATTCTTCACTTTGTCTGTTTGTGTCTGTACATTTTACTGAAAGTTAGCATTAGATAACGACTCATCTGCACATTTAAACATTTCAATAAACTTGTAATACAAAAATAATTGTCTTAATGTCAGTGATCAACTGGGGACATTCTTCTGTAGTGAATCTTACAATACAGATCTTTAAAGGCAGTTTTTTCAAAGTGAGTTTTTTCTCCAACTCTGAGCCAGAAATCTTCTGTTCAGCAGCTCTTACAGACACCAACCTTCCAGTTTTATTCCTCTCTGTATTCTGAAGGGTGAGGGCTTTGTTCATATATCACTCAGCCTGATTTATAGCACATTTTACAAACAAACAAAAAAACATAGAGAAAACTGATATTTTATAGCTGTTGAAAGGCATCAATGTTGGCTTTATTTCTGGAAATGTATGTAAATTAGTGCATTTTTTATTAAATGCCTGATTTGTATATTTAAATATATTAAATAATTGTCTTAATCTAAAAAATCAACTGGGGAAGTTTCATGCTGATTTCTGTCAGTTAAATGTTATTTTTTCAGTTAAAAAGAGTCTGATCTCTTTATTCATAATACTTTAAGAGGAATATTTAGATGCATTTAAGGAGCACTTTGATACATAATAAATAAATAATAGTGATCAAGTGCTGTCTTACATAATGTGCGCTTGATTAGATAAATTTATATAACTGCAACCAAAGTTCAAGATGAGTCACCAGAAATACTTTTACAGAAAGAAAAACCTGATTTTAATACAAATATACTCAAAAATGATTTGTATAAAAACTGAGAAATAAATGAACAATGAATCTTTAAATCACTTATACGATGCCAAACAACCTGTTTATACGAGTGTTTCTTGCATTGTGAGGTGATCCGTTAACTGCCTGGAAATAATCAATCTGGAAACAGATGATTGATCGGTTTACGAGTTTGTCCCATTTATTTTACAGAATCTTTCTGTATTTTTTTAAATACACAGAAATACTAATAAAATTACAAAAAATAGCCTGCGAATTTACATGTGTAATGTAAAATAAGATGGAAACTCTGTAACTGCAAATAATCGTAAAAATTACTGCTGATTTAAAGAAAATTCACATGTTCACATAAAAAGATTAAAATATGTTTGCAAATCTATAATTTTTTCAGATATTTACTGTTTACCTAAAATTAATGAGATTAACAGTAAAAAAGTATTTTTATTTTACATGCATTTGTTAGTTAACTGACAGATATCTTGTATAATGA